GCCTGTGGTCCCAGCTACTTGGGAGGCTGAGGCAGGAGACTTGCTTGAGCCCAGGAGTTGGAGATTGCTGTGAGCTGTGATGCCACTGTACTCTACCCAGGGGGACAGCTTGAGGCTCTGTCTCAAAAAAAAAAAAAAAAAGAGCTAAACCTGTCTCTAAAAATAGCCAGGTGTTGTGGTAGGTGCCTAAGTCCTAGCTACTTGAGAGGCTAAGGCAAGAGAATCACCTGAGCCCTGGAGTTTGAGGTTGCTGTGAACTATGACGCCACAGCATTCTACCAAGGGCAACAGAGATTCTGTTTCTAAAAACAAATAATATTAAAATATAAAGGGCAGCGCCTGTGGCTCAGTGGGTAGGGCACTGGCCTCATATACTGTGGGTAACGGGTTCAAACCCGGCCCCAACCAAACTGCAACAACAACAAAAAATTGGCTTGGCACCTGTGGCTCAAGTGGCTAAGGCACCAGCCACATACACCTGAGCTGGCAAGTTCAAATCCAGCCCGTGCCTGCCAAACAACAATGATGGGGCTGCAACAAAAAAAAATAGCCGGGCTTTGTGGCAGGTGCCTGTAGTCCCAGCTACTTGGGAGACGGAGGCAGAAGAATCGCTTGAGCCCAGGAGTTGGAGGTTGCCGTGAGCTGTGATGCCACTGCACTCTACCCAGGGCCACAGCTTGAGGCTCTGTCTCAAAAAAATATAAATAAACAGGCTAGAAGCCTGTGGCACTTTGGGAGTATGGGAGGCTGGCTTGAAGCCAGGAGTTTGAGACCAGCTTGGGTATACAGTAAGACCCCTATCTTTCCAAAATGTGAAAACTTTTGGTGGCACATGGTTGTAGTCCCAGCAGTTCAGAAGGTGGAGGCAGGAAGATCGGCCGAGCCCATGGTTTGTAACACCTTGTAACATCAGGTATCTAAACTAAGTCCAGTATCCATGTGGTGACAGCCCTGGAGTGGGGATCACTGGGTTGCCTAAGACAGGGTGAACTGGAGGAAACACCAGGTCAAAATTTATATGCCCATTGATAGTGGGGTCACGCCTGAGGACAGCAACTGTACTCCATCCTAGGCAACATGGTGAGACCTATCTTCAGAAAAAATGAAAATTAAAAAAATTTTTTAAAGTAAAAGTAAAAAGGATGCTATAATGTCAGTGTAGTTTTTTTCCCTTGTGCTTTAGTTTTAACGTCTCTTGGTGGAATAAATTCTGAAGTACGCTTTTGGAACTAGAAAGAATGAGTACCATAGTAATAAGTACAAATACCTGATTCATTTTGTCCAGAGAAGCCTCCATTGATTACACCAGGTTGAAACTCAGATTCTGGCCAATGTAGTTTTTTTGTCAGGCAGACATTTGCCTTCATGTATAGAATTTTCTGTCCCTCTGGGGATTCCTTTACATGTGCCTGGTTGTGCTTGCACCCCAGCTCCAGTTCTTCCTGGAGTGGAGACTTGACTTTGGCATGGGATGAGGAGAGTTCGCTTGTGTATCTGCAGGTGGCCAGGGTCTCCATTGGATTGCACCATCTGAGAGCTGCAGGTCTCTAAGCCAAGGCTGCAGCACTGGCTGATCACTCAGTTGGCTGATTCCTCTGTTCTCTGGAGATGCTTCCTATGGATAGTATGTTGCATATATGTATCTTCAATCATAAATGAAACAAGGTTGCAGATAGTTTGGAAATCAAAGAAAAAAGTCCTAATTCAATCTGTTGATGCATCTGGCCACAGCATGGTGGGAGGTGGGACAAGATTGGGCTGCATCTCCACTGACCTGGATTGCAGTCTAAGATTTGGGTCAGAATAAGTAGGAAGATGTGGAAATGATGGATAAGGCAAGAAGCACTTAAGCAGCAGTGTTATTGGCTTGCCTCTCTATAGGGATGGGAACCCTGCTGGGCCCGCTGCCTTCTTGAGGGAGGGTTTGAAGTGGGAAGTCCCCTGTGCTCCCTGGTGACTGTGCCCTACAGCTCCACATGCGAAGGCAGGTGCTGAGCCTGTCCTTGGCCAGGGGAGGTGCCCAACATCAGTGTAGTTCACACCACATAGGATCACATCACATAGGATCACACAGTGACCAGGAGCTCCACATAGGATCACACCACATAGGATCACACAGTGACCAGGAGCTCATCCAGCCCCCAAGGCCACTCCCTCCAGTCTGGGCCCGGGACAAGCGCCCCAAGCGACAGCACCAGTTCCTCCGCTGACCAGGCCCGGCCACAGGAGAGGCGCGAGGCCCCAACCTGACCCCGCAGCTTGCAGGGGTGTCTGTCTACTCCACTCAAGTCTCTTGTCCTCCCCAGCCCTGTCCCGGGGCGCCCGACAGCAGCACGCCCCAAAACGTAGCTGAACCGAGGCCGCGCAGTCAAGTTCAGGGCTGTCCTGGTGGGTGACTGCTGAGGCAGGAGGCGCCCATGTGTCGTGTTGGGACTGGGGACAAGCCGGGTCCGCTGGGAGTGGCACACGGAGGCTGCAGGAGAAGAAGCCGTGGCTTGTCGCTCACCCAGGGCCCGGAGCCGCCCAGCCCAAGGCCGGAAGAGGCGGCGCCGTGATGTCACTTTCGGGGCGGTGGTGCAGGTCCCGCGCATAGCACGCCCGGGTGTGTCCCACGTCCGTCAGCGTCCGTCCGGAGCGCCCAGCCGCGGCAGGTGCGGGATAGGGCACTGTCCCAACCGGGGCGCGCGGCGTGGAGGTCGCTCTCGTTTCCGGCGCACGCCCCACGATCCCTCCGGGTGGGGTCTGGTCCCCTGCCTCAGTTTCCCTGCACGCCCTGTTGTGGGGATGTGGGCCGCCATGCCCTCCCCGGGCCCTCAGCGGGCAGCTTCGCAGTGCGGGTTCTGGTGCAGCGCCAGACCCAGGGCATCCTGCAGGCCGGGGCGTGCGCCCAGCTCTGGGCAGGGTTAGGCTCGCCAGCTGGCGGGGCGGGTGCGTGGCGGGAGCTGCGCTGGGGCACCCTGAGGTCTCCTTACCGGCCTGCCACCCCCCTAAGCCAGGCCGGGTCGGAGCAGCCCACCATGGGATGGGGAGGCGGTGGCAGCTGCACCCCGCGCCCACCCATCCGCCAGCAGCCCGCGCCAGAGCGCCGCGTGGTCACCGTGGTCTTCCTGGGCCTCCTGCTGGACCTTCTGGCCTTCACTCTACTGCTGCCCCTGCTGCCCGGGCTGTTGGAGAGCCACGGCCGTGCCCACGTGAGAGCCCCCTCTGCCCAAGGGCCCCTCTCCCCCAACCTGGCGCCAACCTCCCCAGCACCCCCCTTGCCTCTTTGTCCCCCAGGACCCACTCTACAGCTCATGGCAGCGAGGGGTGGACTGGTTTGCCACAGCCATTGGGATGCCAGTGGAGAAGAGATACAACAGCGTCCTGTTTGGAGGTACAGTCCTGCCCCAGGCTGGGGGCTCTCTAGGCTCCTGTCTCGGGCAGATGTGTCCTTTCCCCCTCACTCCCTGGCTTCCATCCATCTGCATACCTTGCCCATACATTTGTGCTTTGGGGCATCATCTGCCACTTCTGGTGTCTCTTCTTGTCTCTCCATTGGGTCCAATGTGGCTCAAGGTCCATGGCCTGTGAAGGTAGGGCCCAGTGTGATCGGACCTTCAGGGACTGAGCTGGATGCTGGCCCTGTGGACCCTGAGACCACAGCTCGAGGCCCAAGGCAGTCCCCTCCCCTGAAGGTGATCTCTGTCTCCCAGGTCTCATTGGTTCGGCCTTCTCCATCCTGCAGTTTCTCTCTGCACCAATCACTGGGGCCATCTCTGACCGCCTGGGGCGGCGCCCAGCAATGCTGCTATCCCTGGTACCTCTGCACCTGGGAGCCCAAGGGCCAGAAACATGTAGCCTCCCCCCACCAGCAGCCCAGTGGGGTTGGGCTGGGCACTGGGGAGAGGGAATGACTGGGCTGCTCAAGGCCACAGGTTGGCCCTTGTCACTTCCCTGGCAGGGTGGGGTATCTTGAGTGACCAGTGGCTCCTGCTTACAGTGCAGCTGCTTCTGCCACCCAGGGGCTGGTGGAAGTGGGAACACAAGTGGCCCTTGGATGCTTCAGAATAAGGCAGGGTCCAAGGGTGTTGCCTGAGTTTGCCAAGCACCACTCTGAGCCCTTCTTGGCCTCAAGTGACCTGCCCCTTGTCCCCTGCCCCTGGGCAGACGGGTCTGGCTGCCTCGTATGCCGTGTGGGCCACATCTCGGAGTTTCATGGCATTCCTGGCCTCCAGGATGATTGGAGGCATCAGCAAGGGTAATGTGAGCCTCTCTACAGCCATCATCGCTGACCTGGGCTCCCCTCCGGCCCGCAGCCAAGGCATGGTGAGTGCACAGGCTGGAAGATGCGGGGTCCAGGTGGGAACTTCTGGGCCTGGTCTGCCAGCCCTGCTCAGACAGCCTTTTCCCTAGGCAGTTATCGGGGTAGCCTTCTCTCTGGGCTTCACGCTGGGCCCCATGCTTGGTGCCTCGCTGCCTGTGGAGGCGGCACCCTGGCTCGCCCTGCTCTTTGCAGTGTGTGACCTGCTGTTCATCTTCTGCTTCCTGCCAGAGACGCTGCCCCCGGATAAGCGGGTAGGGCCAGGGCCTGGCAGGTTCAGGGAATGGGGAATGGTTCAGGGCACTGGACCCAGATGCTGGACAGGGCAGGCTGTTGTTTCTTGGGGCCACAGTGTGTCTGAAGCCCTTTCAGCTGCCAGGCCAGCAGCTGCCCCTGCCTCCTGGCACCCTCAACAGTCCATCCCCACAGGCACCCTCCATTGCTCTGGGATTCCGAGATGCCACTGATCTGCTCAGCCCCCTGGCTCTACTGCGCTTCTCAGCTGTGGCACGTGGCCAAGACCCGCCCACTGGAGACAGTAAGGAGCTGGCCCTCAGCAGCCACAGACAGGCTGGGCTCCCTATGGCCCTGGCCCTCACTACCCCTTTTGCTCCCCAGGGCTCAGCAGCCTGCGCCGCCTGGGCCTGGTTTACTTCCTCTACCTCTTCCTGTTCTCGGGCCTGGAGTACTCACTGAGCTTCCTGGCACACCAGCGCTTCCAGTTCAGCAGGTGGGTCCCAACCCCTCCAAAGGAAGCCCTGGGCTGCGCTACTCTCAAGGCTGGGCACTGACATCCCCCCAACCCCACCCCTGGCAGCCTACAGCAGGGGAAAATGTTTTTCTTCATCGGCCTCACCATGGCCACCATCCAGGGTGCCTACACCCGGCGGATCAGCCCTGGCAGGGAAGTCCAGGCCGTGAAACAGGTAGGGAGACTTCCCCTGATGTGGGTAGCTCAGAAACAGGGGTGGTCCTGAGGCTGCCGTGCCCCACCCCACAGGCCATCCTGCTGCTGGTGCCCGCTTTCCTCCTTGTTGGCTGGGGGCACACACTGCCCATGCTGGGCCTAGGGCTGCTGCTCTACTCCTTCGGTGAGTAGGAGGACCCAGTGGGGGCTGGTGCTGGGTCACACCCCTCCTCTAGGCTGACACGTGCCTCTCCAATGTCTCCTTCCAGCTGCCGCTGTCGTAGTGCCTTGCCTGTCCTCTGTGGTCGCTGGCTATGGTGAGGGCCCTTCCCTTGACTGGGATGCCCAGGGTGGAAGGGGTCAACAAGCATCTGACCAGGCCTCTCCCCGCAGGCTCGCCAGGGCAGAAGGGCACGGTCATGGGTACACTACGGAGCCTGGGTGCTCTGGCCAGGGCTGCGGGGCCCATGGTAGCTGCCTCAGGTAAGGGTGTGGGACAGCATGCAGGGGTGTACTGTGTACCCAAGGGCCCAAATCCCTCACCCCACCTCCCAGGCCCAGACCCCCAAGGCCATTGCTCAGTACTGCCACTTGGGGACCACCTGCTTTCTCTCCACAGTGTACTGGCTGGCCGGGGCCCAGGTCTGCTTCTCTGTGTGCTCTGGGCTCTTCCTGCTCCCCTTCTTCCTCCTGAGGACACTGGGGCATCTGGCGGGTCCAGCTCATATGTTCAAGGCCGAGTAGCCGAGCTACTTCACCCCCGGGGCCCAGGGAGGCCAGGTGGCTCTCTGCAGCCTCGCCTCTTCTCACTCCTCTAGTGACTCCAAGGCTTTCAAGATTTCTGTCCGCTGGTTTTTTAATCAGTGGCGCAGGCCATCCAGGTTTCTAAGTGACAAAATAAAGCAGCTATTTTGTACCAAGTGCCTTGCTCAGTTGTGCCTCACCCCCCCAGGAGGCAGCAGCAGCTTAGTAGCTTCTGCTCACTGGCTGGAAGAACAAAAGGCTCACAAAAGGTCCCCCATATCCCTTGTGCACAGTGGTGTGGTAGGGATCAGATGCAGGGCCCTCCCAGGCTGGGCTGTTCCTTTCCAAGTGAGGTTTGGCCTGGGCCCTTCTAGACATGGGCACCCTGTTGTCTGCTGAGCAGCATAAGGAGAACAATCAGGGGTCTGCTAGACTGTGGGCAACAAGGAGTGTCAGGACACCTTTCTGTGCTTTAAGGACCAGCCCAGCAGCTCCTGGACACCCTCAGGAGGACAACAGGGGTGCTGGGCTAGAACATGCTCCTTAGCTCACACAGACTGGGATCGCTCCGTGAAACATGAGAAAAACTAGCAATCCTATGAAAAGTTAACCAAAAAAAACTGTTCCCCAGATTTAGACAAGGAAATTGCTTAAAGAATTTTATTTGTGAGTAAAACATGTTACAATGAAGAAAGGAATTCAGGACCTGCCCTCCCAAGTCTGTCCATATATGCAACTTTAGTTCATGTAATATAAAGAGTTAAACTACAAAAGTGAAAATTAAAAGCCATTGTATATGTGGGATTGAGGGAAGGATAAGAGGAGGGGACAGAAAAAGAGCCCACAGAGAAAGCACATCAACGCCACTTTGGCAGCCACGGCACACAGGAAAGCAGCTCAGGTGCCAGGGCAGCAGGCCCTACAGGGTCACAGGAAGCTTAAGGTGCTATCAGCGCCACGCAGCCAGCCCCAGGTATTGCTTGGGGGCCAAATGGTTCAACCCAGAGCCCACATCTGGCACCATGTCTGCCAAGGGCCCCTCCCTGGTGGGGCCTGTCTGGGCCCCAGCACATTGGCCTGCGCCCAGCCAGGCTGGCACCTGGCAGCTCCTGGGATGGGTCACCATTGAGGACTCCATCTGGTCAGTTCCCATCAAGCAGCTTCAGGCCCTTTTATAGGGAGTTAAGTGAAAACTGGTAACAATCTTGATGGAGGAGAGTGAGTTACAGGCTTTGTAACTGATGCAGAGTCATCTGCCTCAAGTCACTTTCTACCAGACCAGGGCATCTTTCAGGCTGAGTTAAGGTGAGGAAAGATCCCCTGAAACCTCTCCCAAATAGGTGAGCAGTGCTCTGTTGCAGTCTGCCATAGGCTCTAGAAAAAAAATGAAAGAAGTGGCTTGTTTGTGTTCACAGTCAAAAATGTAGGCTGAATTGTAAACATGCTAAAAGATAATTCTAGACAGGACTCTTCCCTCTCCTGATATACCTTCCAACTATGACAGGAATCCAGAGACCCGAGTGAATAAGAAACTGTGAGCTCCTGAACCTGTTTCTGGCTGAGGGGACCAGAGAGGCCACGCATAGTGAGCCGCTGGGGTCTCTGCCCAATGCCAGCCCAGACCCACCACTTCAAGGCAGCATGGTGCCCTGGGCTGCTGGTGAGCACTCGAGTGTTTTCACAGGACTGAGGCTTTGTGTACAGAAAGAAAGTGAGACTACTGAGCAGACAATGCCAGCAGGAAGCCGAGAGTCTGATTCAGTCACCTGAGACACGGCGAGCGGCAAGAAGCTGAGCGGAGGCAGAATGGGCCCCTACAGGGCAGAGGGTGAGAGGAGGTTGGGGCTCAAGCAGGTGATGCCCACAGCCGGAGCTGGCAGAAACCTCCACTACCTTCCGGCCAGGACCGTGGTTTAGTGACTCATCCCCACCGCAGGGAGGTCACATCCCAGAGGAGCAGGTGGAGCCCAAGCTGTCCCCAGAACCTGAGTCCCACGGGCTGGGCAGGAACTGCAGGGCATAGTTGCTAGCACCGGGCTGCACAGGCTGTCGAGTGAGGGGAGCTCTAGCTACATGGAGGGCTTGGCTTTTTGCATTCCATTACACAAAAAGACAGGGCGCAGACGCAATCAGGGACTCTGGAGGAGCCAGGGTCACTTTAGACACGACAGTGTGGGTTCAGGGCAGGCCTTCAGGAGTCACTCTTCTTCTTGCTCTTCTTCAGAAAGGAAGGGGTACGGAACTTTTTCTTCTTTTTGGATGGGGACTTGCCTGGAGACCCATCGCTGCCAGGGTCTATGGCAGCCCCCTCCTCGGCAGCTGGGGAGGCAGCTTCTTCAGCTGCTGGGGCTGGGGTGGCCACAGTATGGGGCTTGGTGGGGCCTGGGAGTCCACAGGCTTCCCCCTCTTCCTCTAATGTTGGGAAGCCAAGCGCTTCTGAAGGCTCATCAGGGGACAAGTCAGGGAGAGTTGGCTTGAAGGTGGCAGCATCACTGTCGTCTCCAGAAGTCGGCTCCTGTGGAAGGTCTGGCGGGGGTGGAGTGAGAGAGAAAGGGTTAAGGCCTCCCACCCGGACCACAGGGGACAGCATGGGATAGGAGAGCCCAGCATGGGAAGCTGCCATTTTATCTTATGCTCCCTACATTATGGGTTTTTACCACAAAAAAGTTAACTGTGTTCTGTTGTGTTCTGTTCTACTTTAAGGCGGTACGGAGTCAACATTATAGAACACGGTGCAGTCTCAGGCAGTTTTAGCCCCTTCTCATGGATGGCATGCTGACAGAACCAGACTTACAGGGTCTCACTCCAGCCCTAAAGACAGATGGCATCAAGGCCAGTGGTGCTGGGTGGTTCAGCTTTCTGTGCTCAACACCTGAGAAGGTGGAAGGAAGGACACTTGCTCTACACCCCTAAGGGCGTATTAGTCTTGAAATTAAGCCTAAATTTGAGTCTACAACACCTGGTCTCCCCTAAAACAGCCAGTAGAAAACCATGAGTTTTCTCCAGACCTCCTGGGTGACATCAACATCCAACAGAATAAAGCCATGTAGGCAGGGCAGTTATTTAAGAGAAAAGAGACAGACTACACGACAAGGAGTAGGGCATAAAATCAAGTCATCTTAACACCTGGAACAGCAAAGGGGGCAAAACATCACTTCTGCAGAATCCTCCTGAGGTCTGATTTGGTCTACTTGCCGTGGGTGCTTTGCACACTGCCTGGGGGAAACCAGTTTTGTGGAGCCCTTAAGAGCCTACAGAGTTATAAGCAACTGGCATGTTAGGAGGCAACAAACTGTTTAGTACTTGCACATCAAGCTGCACACAGGACGTGATGAGGAGCCTGGCTGAACACAGGGCAGGAGCACACAGAAGGCTCTGGGCCCTGACACCTGGGGGGCTGGAAGCACCCCAGCCCCCACCCACCAGCTACCTTCTGCTTCAGAACTCAAGGCCACACTTTAGGGGCAGGAGTGGGGCTGGTGCTGAGACAGAGGCTGCCGGAGTGTGTTCAGGAGAACTGCCATCATTTGACCAAATGTCACATTTTTTAAAAAGTGATCAATACTGCTTCTCTGGCCACCTCAAATTACCAGTCCCAGCTTAAGCAAAGGTCCAAACAGCCTGACTCCACGCACCAGCTGGCAGAGTGCCACTCTGCCTGAACCCAGTCTGGATTTGTCTGATTCAACAAGATAAAACCTTCCCACTGACCAATCAAAAGAGATTCTCAAAGTCTGTCCGAGTGGCAGGGTGCAAAAGCCCCCAGGAAGGCTATCCTTGTCCTGGGCAGGCTGCCCCACTGCACAGTGCTAGGTGACCAAGCGACTTCAGGAAGGCTACTAAGGGACTAGGTACAAAAAAGGGGCCTTCTGTTTTTATTCTGAATGAACTGAAAACAAAATTTAATAAACAACAAAGAAGCAAGAGAATGAGGCAAAGCACAAGGATCCTGGTGGCGAGCAAGGGCCAGGCGCGGTACTTACTACGGCAACAGGTACTCTCTAGCACATCCGTCTCCTGTGTGCGGGGCAGCCACAAGAAGAGAAAAGCACAAGTAGAGAATCTCTGCATTCAGTCACAGCCACCAGGTTATACAAGAAAGGCCGAGCCATTCTTACAGAACACAGGATGGGGATGGGGGAGCTACAGGCTTTACGGGAGACATGGGTGTACGAGACCGAGGGATGGACGTCCAGGGTCACACATCATAGACAAGCAGTGGCCTGAGGCACGTGGAGCGGAGCTCTTGGCAGACAGACCGCAGTCAGCAGGAGCACTGCGGCTCAGACACGTGGAGGCGCGTCTGCGGTGTGACCGCAGAGCAGCGCAGGGAGAAGGTGCAAGCGATGGGTAGTATGACATCAGAGAGGACTGTGGGCTTCACCCCTGCACTCTGCCTTCCTACCTGGTCACACAGTTCACTGAGAAACCAGTTTTGCCTCAAGTTACTCAGGAGAAGAGGCCAGGAGCCCTCAGTACGGTGTCAGGCACTGATTTCAGTGCAAAGGCACTTTCTCATCGATGTGTACAGACCTACTGCCACACATGGTCACAGTGCACAGGAGGCCATGCACCCTCCTGCAGGGGCACCTAGGCAGGCACTAACTCCACCCCAGAGCTCACCTTCTTCAAGCTTTATGGGAGTGCTGGGGGGAGTCTGGGGAGCAGTGGGCTGGTCTGGAGGGCTCTTCTCTTTCTGTTCTCTAGTCTCGTCCAGATTCTCTGCAGAGGCACACAACACATGGAGAAAGTGGTTCAAAGTGCTGATGCTGTGAGCCTCCCTCCTCAACAGAAGCCTGTTCACCCTCCTGGGCCTTCCAGAGCATACTCCAAGAAAGCAGGAGTCCTCTCAAAACCGGATGATAGAAGGTGACTGTGACTGGAGCTGATCACAGGCTCAAGGGTTAACGTGTTTGAATCTGACTTTCAGAATAATTTAACCAAGTATAGATATAAACGTAATTTCTTTTCATATTCCAAAGACAATGTGCCAGAGCTGACCCCACAGTGGAGCGTGACTGATGACCCCTGGCCTGGCCTGGCCCCTGTGAAGGAGGAGTGGCTCCCTCACTGCCCGGCCATGCCTTGATGAGCACCCCAAGGGACCCAAGACCCTCACCCTAGTCAACCCCCTCAGAGGCCGTGACCTTACCATCACGTTTGTTTTAATCTCTGAGGTGGGGAGCGTCCTACCAATAATTTAAACTTGGCAAGCTGACATTTATTTTTATTTTCTAAAGTGAAAAATGCTGATATGAACCAGAGGAAAAAATCCAAGAACTAACCAGACATGGTGGCTCATGCCTATAATCCCAGCTCCTCAAGAGGCTGAGGCAGGAGGATCAGCTGAGCCCAGAAGTTTGAGGCTGCTGCAGATGATACCCCAGCACTCTACCATGAGCACAGAGTGAGACTCTTTTTCTCAAAAAAAAAAATAAAATAATAATAAGGAAGGAATTAGGACCTTAGATCCAGAAAATTCCAAATTTACTTCTCATTTAGGGAAAAATACGGATCAGTATTATACCAATTTCTTAATATCCTTCTTTCATTTAAAATTTTCCTAACAGGCCAGGTGTGGTGGCTCACACCTATAATCCTAGCACTCTGGGAGGCTGAGGCAGGTGGATAGCTTGAGCTCACGAGTTTAAGACCAGCCTGAGCAAAATCAAGACCCTGTCTCTACTAAAAACAGAAAAACTAAGGCAAGAAGATCACTTGAACTTGAGTTGGAGGTTACTGTGAGCTATGACACCACAGCACTCTACCCAGGGCAACAGCTTAAGACCCTGTCTCAAAACAATAAAATCAGGGTGGCGCCTGTGGCTCAGTGAGTAGGACGCAGGCCCCACATACCGAGGGTGGCGGGTTCAAACCCGGCCCCGGCCAAACTGCAAGAAAAAAATAGCCAGGCATTGAGGCAGGCGCCTGTAGTCCCAGCTACTCAGGAGGCAGAGGCAAGAGAATTGCCTAAGCCCAGGATTTGGAGGTTACTGTGAGCTGTGACTCGACAGCACTCTACCAAGGGTGACAAAGTGAGACTCTGTTTCTTAAAAAAAAAAAGTAAATAAATAATAAAAATAAAAATAAAATTTTCCTAGTAGTTTAGCATCATTCATCCCATATTCTAAAAAAACAGCTATAATTACCCTTCTAAACTCACCAAGCTGAATTTAAAAGTTTAGAAGATTCTACTCTACCAGGTAATCTGCCTTCCTAGCAGCCCTGAGTTGGCCACTGCCTGCCTGAAACCAAAAGTCTATAGAAAACGGCTGTCATGCTAACCGCTGTTTGTTTGTAAGGGTGAACAAACGGCCTTAGCCAGGAAAGGTGCTGACCTTGAATAGACAGCCTGAATTTTACCTACCAGAGTAGCTGCCTACTAACTCCAAGGCTGACACTCCATGGGGAAGGTGACATGCTCCTGACCAAGCCAGGACTTGGTTAGGAGCGTGTTACCTTCTGAGTGTGTTACGCACCATCTTGTGCCTGGGGAGCCTCCATCTAGTGGGCATAGGCATGCTGTTCTGTACACGCACAGCCCCCCCCCCCCCAGGCACAGCTTGGTAATGATGAGTGTTAACCACACAAATCTCTTCTCAACGACACTTTCACAGAAATATTGAATATGTAAGAGAGATACATTCCTCTTAAAAATAACAGACCCAGGTGCAGAAGCACATGCCTATAATTGTAACTCTCTCAGAGGCCAAAGTGGGAGAATTGCTTGAGGCCAGAAGTTTGAGACCAGCCTGAGCAAGAGCGAGACATTCCCCCACCACCACCATCTCTACAAAAAATAGAAAAATTAGCCAGGCATCATGGCAGGTGTCTGTAGTCCCAGCTACTCAGGAGTCTGAAGCAGGATTGCCTGAGCACAGGAATTTGAGGTTGCTGTGAGTTATGATGATACCACTGTACTCTAGCCAGGGCAATAGGACAAAAGACTGTCTCAAAAAAAAAAAAAAAAGAAAAAGAATTCAGGCTGACCTTCCCAGTAACTAATCCAAATTTGTGAATCCTTCTGTGAAGGACAAAAAGCCACTGACAGGAGGACCAGTGTCCCTACAGCCCAAGCCCTGCGGGTGCCATGAAAGTCTATCCTCCTGTCCATTCAGCACACCTTCACTGCAGCAGCTGGGGAGCGTCCCTGCAAGACAGGGTCAGCCCCAACTGACAGCGTTCCTGTCCCCCAAGTCTTAATGACAGTACACAGATGCCTGGGAGCCCTGTTGTAACCCATTACACATGTCCCTCTGGCTCTGGTCCCAATGACTAAGTTGAAGATGTGCACTAACGTGCTGGTCTTAAGTAAATATGAGGTTTGTCTCTGACACACGACTCTTCTCATCACTACCCGGGGCCAGGACCTAGACCACAGAGAAGTCCCTGATCATTTTCTCTCGCCTTGGGGAGCTGCCCCGTGCCCAGGACCCTTGAGCACTAACCTTCAGAGCTCTTTTGCTTCCGCTCCACCTCCCTGCGGTACTCCTCTAGCTCACGGTCTGTGAGCGTGTTGAAAGGGTTGGGACCCGCGGTGCTCACGATGGCATGGGGCTGGTACTCCTTCTCAATGATGGCCTTGGAGGCTGTCACCAGCTCCCCCTGTGGGGAAAGGGATGCATGGTCTGCAGGAGCCTGGCCAGAGGGCGCTCTCCCTCCTCTTGGGCACTTCTCTTCAGGAAGGGGGTTGGAGGTTTCCCAGGAGCAGACAGACACCCTGAGACTGCACAGGGGGCCGAGGCATGGGCTGAGCAGCGCCCAGGGGTGGAAGACATGGAAACACAGACAGACGCTACAAATCAGATGTAACAAAATGAGTCCAACAAAGTCCTTCAGGGTTCAGAAACAAAGGCCCCAAGCACAGACTGTGAAGCACAGAGCACATCGGGGCTTCCCACTCTCATTGGCAGACAGGAATGGAGAGGTCCCTCCTGCTAGTGTTCAAAAGTCACTTGCTACACTAGGGAGGGTGACTCACACCTGTAATCCTAGCACTGTGGGAGGCCGAGGCAGGTGAATCACCTAAGCTCAGGAGTTCAAGACCAGCTTGAGCAAGAGTGAGATCCCCATCTCTAAAAAAATAGCTGGGTATTGTGTTGGGCACTTGTAGTCTCAGCTACTTGGGAGGCTGAGACAAGAGGATCACTTGAGCTCGAGTTTGAGGTTGCTATGAACTACGATAACACACAGTACTCTAGCCAAGGTGACAAAGTGAGAGTCTATCTCAAAAAATAATAATAATTAATTTTAAAAGTCACTTTCCCTCATGACGTGGGGAAAACATCACACATGGCATTTAGAGTAAGGCATGCTTGGAGGTTTGCTCACATTCTAAGAGCACAGCTATGTTCTGTTCTTTTGACTATGCATTTAATTTATATATACGTAGCTCCTGGGAGTTATCCCAAAATGCCCCAAGAAAACCATTATGTCCTGAGACATCAGTATGTGTCTGAGGAATCTGAAAAACTGTGAGAATTTGTATTGCAAAAAAAACTGGAAAGAAAGAAAGCAAAGCAAAAGCACAAAGGCAGCTCCCAGTCTCATGGGAAGAGGCAGAACAGGGTGGGGCGGGGGGCAGGGCCGGGGCCAGGGCGGGGGGCACTGTGGTGGGCAGCACTGTGGGCTGGGCAGGCCTCAGAGGAGCTGGGTGGGCATCCCTGCGGTGCAGCTCACCCACACTCACCTACCCCAACACACTTCTGTGCCCCATAGCTCAGCCAGGTTGGGGTTGGGGCAGCAAAAGTCCTCCAAATGCTCTTGGGTCCACTTCCAGGAAAGTTAACCAGAACTCATGCACATTACTTAGTGACAGCTTCCAAAAACACAGGAAAGCTGGAGAACCCAAATCACAGATGCCAGGTCTGGTCCTTCAGTGCTCACTGAAGTGACACTAGAGGCAGAGAGTGACCTGGGGAAATCAGCTCACGTGGACCAACTGCTCCTCAGGCAGAGGTGGGAAACCTGAGCTGAGCAACTACCCAGCACACTGGATTCAAGGTGTCAGGAGCACTTCACGACTCCCAGTGACACAGAACCCCAGATAGAAAGCAAGTATGTCTTCTTGCCTCAATGGCAAGAGGAGTTCTAAGGATACAGACCTCTTTACTTGGTCAAAGGAGAAATTCAACTTCCCCAAAGGCAGCCTGGTGTCCCAGAGGGAGCGCTGCTGTCTGCTCTATGAGGCCCCTACCACAGGAAGTAGATCGGCAGCCCCAGGAAAGGGCAGCCAACAAGCCAAGCACATTCATACTGTGACAGTGGGACATGCAGAGTTGGAGTAGAGTGAAGATGAAGAGTACAAATGTGAACTGAAGAAATAAGGAGGCAGAGAAAAAGAAAAGGCCAGAACAAGAATTTATGGGCAGGGGTCAACATCTCTGTATCTGGGATTGAAGTACAGGGGCTACTCAGCTTTCTACACATGGCACAGGGAGCAGGGTATTGACTGTGGGGTCCTATGTCTGCTCCTCATGAAGCACCATGTATGACACCTACATCTGAATACCCCTGGGACAGAGGAGTGAAAGTTGTAGTTAGATGATTAAACACAGCTCACCAGCCTGCATGTGCCCTCACACATCTGAGATGCATCGTGATTAACTAACAGGGTGGCAACGGCTTATGGCCCTAAGCCCCAAAACAGGAAAAACAAGCTGACAGGGGAAGAGTCCATCTTTCTCTTTTGCTCTGCGAAGTTCCTCCAAGAATGGTAGCCAGAAATACATTTTAAGTACAAAGAAAATGGGCTCGGTGCCTGTGGCTCAAGCAGCTAAGACGCCAGCCACGTACACCTAAGGTGGCGGGTTCGAATCCCCAGCCTGGGCCC